CACACACACACACACACTCTGAATATTAAAGTAAATTAGCACTATTGCTTAATTGACACTGTAGTAAAACTTTTTTAGTTTCTGTGTATATGGGTCATCATATGCTTGGCAGCCACAGCAAATCTATACTGTTACTTTTTATTCTTTTTTAATATAAGATAATGAATTAATTCATTCTTTCTTATCTAAAGCAGTGGGCTTAGGTATATGAGACATTTATTGTTCTGTATTTGTGTTGATAATCGGTAGTAAATTCAGGTTTTTGATTTCCATTATAGTAAATAAGTAGATAGGGGATGTTTAGATATTATTTAATTATGTAGTGTGTGTTCAGATCTCTAAAAAGAATAATTCATCTTAAAAAAATCATAATTTATTTTTAAAAGCTTCCTGAATCACTCCCATTCTGACAGGCGATCGTCACTCACATCTAACCGTGGCACTACATAAATCCAGACATCACAAATGAGATGCGTGTTTTGTTTGTTCCCACTGTGGTTTCAACAGCTGCGTCTCCTACCAGCTCCAGACTACATGTTTAGAGTACTAAAGAAGCTTCCTAAAGACCTAAAGGGGGTGAGGGGGGTTGCCTGCCGAATTTCCCACAATTCTTCATGCACGGCATGCTGCCTTTGCCAGGCCAAGTCTGACAGCTAATGACATGCAGCACACAAGCAGCCTGGCAGACAAATGCCGCAGACATCTCCAGGAGAGCAGCACTGACCCAGAGTCAGTGCTCTGCAGTTCCTCCTGCATTACGGAAACAATCACATCTTTCACAGTTACCAGTCTGAGCTACATTCAACCACACAGCCCACATAGCTTACTTTCTACATGGACCAATCCTGCTAATGAGCTTAAATGTATATATATATATATATATAGATTAAATGTAGGAAATGACTTTAAAATAATGTTTGTGTTTGTAGTTCCCTAACATATTAATACCTAGAAGTGATGGTACTAGGTTTCTGAAGGGGTCTCTGTTATTATAAACCTGTTATTGGGCCAATGCCAAGTGAGTACTAGTTACATTGTAATATCATTTAAGACTAAGAATCTACAGCCATGCTAGCAGCTCGGTCACAGTTGTGCTTTGAGCTTAATGCTAACATGTGCATGTTTATTAGTTTATTAATCTGAGGTTAGTTAGCCTGTTAGCCTGTTAGCATGCTATTGCGAAGGCTAATTAGTCTCACAGTGCTATCGCTAGCAGGCTAAAAAACATGATATCCTTCTCACAAATGCAGTTGACTTTCTTCTAATGGTACTTTTTACCTTATTTTTATGTATATCAGTTATACACTTGATTGTACTGTTTTGTTTTTACTCTTTACCATAAAACCAGATTCACTGTCTCCCTTTCCATCCATCCGTCAGCTAGACGGCTAACCTGTGAGGGCGGCAGAGAGCTGGAGAACTGACACTGGTCCCACTGGTCCACACT